TAATAAACTAACTTATTACTAAGAACTAACTAAAAAAAATAATCAAATAAAATAGGGCATTAAAGTCAATTAAAAAATAAATAAATATTTGAGTATTTGCAGAATTTAAAAGAATTAAAGCTGCTAGGATTTTCCCACAACCTCAAAGGGAAAAGGTGCTGGCCAAAAACACCCAAAAGCCTCGGTGGTCGAAACAGCTGACTAAACTATTTAACAGTTTGCTACTCCTGGTTGATGGGGTTCTGGGAGTTCTTCTACTCCCCAAGCCCGGCCCGAGACCAAGCTTGACTTGTGAGAGTTTGGTCCACCAGGCTGTTGCTTGGAGCGGCCCACAGGCCCACATACCCACCACAGCCCGGTTGGTCCGGCACTCTGTGGAGGAAACAATCTAGTTTCCTCTTGAAGATGTCCACGGATGTTCCGGCTGCTCTTCACTGGTTCTATTCTGCATTTTCTTCCATATCGTTCACTCCAGTACGTTGTTGTTTTACTGTGTAGATTTGGTACTTATCCCTCCAGTATCTTCCACGTGTATATTATTTGATATCTCTCTCGTCTTTTTTCTAGTGAGTACATTTGGAGGGCTTTGAGACGATCCCAATAATTTAGGTCCTTTATCGCATCTATACATGCCGTATATGTTCTCTGTATTCTCTGTTCTCTCTATTTCAGCAATCTCTCCTGCTCTGAAGGGGGAAGTGAGTACTGAGCAGTACTCAAGACGGGACAACACAAGTGACTTGAAGAGTACAACCATTGTGATGGGATCCCTGGATTTAAAAGTTCTCGTAATCCATCCTATCATTTTTCTGGCTGACGCAATATTTGCTTGGTTTTGCTCCCTAAACGTTAGGTCGTCAGACGTCTTTATTCCCAAATCCTTTACATGCTGTTTTCCTACTATGGGCACATTTGATTTTGTTTTGTACCCTGTATTATGGCTAAGGTCCTCATTTTTACCTTACCTGAGTACCTGGAATTTATCACTGTTAAACATCATGTTTTTTCTGTTATCATTTTCTGTTTTCTTATTTCATTTTCTCTTTTCATACTCCTGTTATCCACTAAGTTCATGTGGGTCAACACGGTACAGACTAATCATTTCCAAAAGTTCCTCTATTGTCAATGTAGCAAGTTAAATATTGTGGGGACCCTGTTCAGCCCAAAATGGATAGAAAATAAATGAGAGAGAATTTCAAAGGAGTCTAGAGAAATGGTTGACTAACGAGATTCGGCCAGATCTGCGATAGAAACAATGGTGTCTTCTCAGGTTGACCTCCATATACAGAATGGAGAACACAGCCTCGCTGGTGTGGCTGCTGAGTTCACTCCTTTGTGTAGCTATAGAGATGACAAGGCACATCAGGCAACAGTTATCGTAATTGATCAATCACAGATCAATCAATCAATCTTGTTGATTGGCAGTTGAGAGGCGGGACCAAAGAGCCAGAGCTCAACCCCCTCAAGCACAATTAGGTGAGTACCGAACAGCTTCTATGACAGGTAGGGATAGTGAAAGAAGCTTCTGGAAAGCATGGAATATGCATACATGACTTCATATTTGCCTTATGTGACCTAACCTTGTACTCCCAGGCTGTCCCTAGAGTGATAAGTGACCTCACTGTACCATCAAACTTTTTCCTCTGCCATCAAACTCCTCATGCTTCTGCCCCAATGCAGAACACTGTGTATTCATGCAGCAGTTATTCTGCACCTCATAGCATCCTACATAATCAACATACCACTAATGGAATGCTTATGCTATTGCCTACCCAATGATAGTAAACATAACTGTCCTAGCTGCTTTTACAGCAGTTAAGAACCATGCACATCCAGTGCACATTGAAATGAATCCACACAAATGCTCTTGACATGCACAACCCTTGCACTCAAGGCAATGTAATTTTCTACACTTACAAGGGCTAAAAGAACAGACTATTTGCCTCTGGAGAAGAGGCACTTGGGCCGATCTGTTGAAAAGGTTAAAGCCGCAGTAAATTGCCTGGTTTTTGGAAAGTGCTAGAAATAAGTCTGGGCCAGCCTCCATGGAGTCAGAATTCTCCTCCTCCCAGAGTACGACCAGAGTGGACACAGCTAGGTGTAGCAACTGAACAAGAGGAAATAGATAAATGCATTTCCACCTTAGCTAGGTGTAGCAACTGAACAAGAGGAAATAGATAAATGCATTTCCACCTTAGCTAGGTGTAGCAACTGAACAAGAGGAAATAGATAAATGCATTTCCACCTTAGCTAGGTGTAGCAACTGAACAAGAGGAAATAGATAAATGCATTTCCACCTTAGCTAGGTGTAGCAACTGAACAAGAGGAAATAGATAAATGCATTTCCACCTTAGCTAGGTGTAGCAACTGAACAAGAGGAAATAGATAAATGCATTTCCACCTTAGCTAGGTGTAGCAACTGAACAAGAGGAAATAGATAAATGCATTTCCACCTTGACCAGTCCAGGCAAAAGGCATCCACCACAAGAGCCACGTCAATGAGCAACAGCACTATGTAGGAGGGAAGGCATCACTTTCACACCAATGCATAGGAGGTCCACCTTCCGGCAACTGAAAGTCTCGCAGAGCTAACATAAGGATGTTTTGCAAATGATCTGCTCCATGCAAAAAGAATGGAAACAATCTAACCCATCTGCGAGAACATTAGACGCCCTCCCCCTCCCCCACATACTAACCATATGGAGAACCAATCCCCAAGAATCAAAAAGCCAATCTACCCAAAGTGTCCAGCTCCACAGTGGGGATGGAACAGAGCAACTCCAATCCCCTTTGTTCAGTCAATGAACCATTGGGGAGTAATTGAAGTGAAGCTGGAGCATAGAGCCCAAAGAAAAGCTGAATCCTCTTCAGTATAACACTGCAAATTGCTGCAAATTTGCACTATGTACTGTGGTCCTGCAAGATTGGACCCAATCACAGACCCTGGGCAGACTGTTGAGCACTGTTCACAAAGTCCAGACCCAGGGACAAGGTGTATGATAACACATTGAGTGATGGGGAGGATGACACTTTTTGAACTGTACCTCTAAAAGCTCGAAGGGAAAGTTGGCAAAGCAAGACTAATAAAAGGTGGGCAGGGCCTGAACCTGTTGGTCCCAGGAATGGAGAAACAGGCAGAACCAGAGAAACAAACTGGCACAATGCCCGAAGCCAAAAGCTGTTCAGCAGAAAAACCATGCAGGCAAATTTCGATCTCCTGCACAACCACTTCATCAATCAGTGAGTCACTCTGGACTGATCCAACACCTGACTGCAATGAAGCTGCAGGTGAAGCAAAGTTGCCGGAGGCAGGGACAGAGAAGCTGATCACAAGTCCCAAAGTAGGCCAAGCCAAGTCCGAACCTAGGACGGAACAAACTGGGATTTCCTCCAGTTCACTTGGAACCAGAACCTGGTGAATTAGTAAAGAACCAGATCCCTTAACAGCTGACATGCTGACTGACTGGGGGGGGGGCCCTACATCAGCCAGTTGTTGAGGTAGGCTAACACATGAACCTGTAAATATGCATAGGAAGAACCCCAGGCACACCTCAAACACATCCGACTGCCCACAACCTCGAAACGTCACAAGAGTCAAAGACCATACAATAAGAAAGGGAAGGCACCCTCCGCTAGAAGTTAGCACTTACATAAACAGCCTCCCGAACCACCAGGGGTAGGTAGCCCTGTCAGGGCCAGGGCAACACCAAGCACCTAGGGAAGTCAATCTTGAACACACGCAGCACGAGGCAAACAGCTGCACGGAGACCACACAAGAAAGTAAGGTAGGCAAACCACATGCACATGAAGCAATAATACCAGTAGTAGAACAAAACTACAAGACAAAGTTCTAGGATAGATAGCACTTATTTTAAACTGGGACCTGAAGGACAAGGTTACAGATGGATCATTATACTGTATCACCAAGTGAATGACTGAAGTGGATCACCACCTGAGCCACTAGCTCCTGGTGGTGAGAAGATAGAACTAGTGGTGGAATTACCTACCTGTTGGGAGTCTTGTTTTCTATTTTGATTACTTTGCCTTCCTGTTGTCTGTTTTATCTCGCTCTACCTTTCCTGAGGCTATTTCCTCCATTAGAATGATCAAGTATCCTCTGCTCTCTGTGCCACTGAGAAGGGACCAGGTTTTCGCCTCTGGTCTCCAGTAGGTTATTAATGACTCACAATGGCTTGGTGTGATTTGATAGGTGTGGAATTACCCTAAACTGCTAGCAACAGGGATGCTTACTGGGATGGGAGCAACCTTGATGCCCCTCCTAGAAATGCTCCGCTATCATCTGACAAGTGAAATAAAATTAAGAAGTAGAAACTGGGTGCGCACATTCATCAAACTGGCAGTGCAACTGTGGTTAACCCTTAGACAGCGACTATGGAGGAATGATCATATCCGCCTATGCATAAAAAATATATAAATTCCAAAAAATTATTTTTCATTATAAAATTATTAATTTGTATGCAGAATATAAGAAAAACACGAAAATAAGTGAATATTTATCATTTCACTGAGTGGAGGCACTCTGCAAGGCTGCGTCTGGCACTTGTCAATGACTGATGCTCGAGGTTGCTGATGCTTCTTGATCTTTTCTCTGATGTTTCGCCCATTGTTTTATCAGTTGTTTTTCTTTATTTACATCCACAGAGAGCTTTTATATCCATATTTGCATCATAAATGTAAAACCCAAACAATAATTGTTTAAATCATATGATGATGACCGCATTCCCCTAATAACATTCATGACGATAATTGCTTTATTACCATCAAATGGTAGCACAATTTTTTAATGGGTCAAGGTAAACTCCACTGCATCCACAGACTTATTATATCCATATTTGCATCATATACATGTAAAACCCAGACAATAATTTCTTAAATCATCAAACGATGATAAACCAACAATTGATAATAACTGCTGTCTTAAAAGGTTAAAGGTGACAAGAGCCAAGATATATGTATCACTACTCAATAAGATATCTTACCTCTTCAGCAGAAGAGCTGCCTCTCCCAGACTGAGACAGGGTTCGCATTTTCATTCGAGTGCCCAAAAATCTATCATGAACTCCCCTGACTGGGTTTCTAGTGACATATCCACACTTTCTATTGATGAAAGGAACTTTCTGGATATCCTCAGAATTCTTTAGCTTAACTGAAAAGAGAAAAAAAAGTACAGACAGTAGTAAAATCTCAAGATGAACACAAATCTGCTAAATTAATACATGTAATACAAAATTTGTATTTGCATTGAAAGCTTGAGTACATTTAGATCAAAATTGGGTAGCAAGGAAAAAATAATTCCTGTCATCAGAGACAAGAAGCATGTTCCAAGACTTATTAAAGTTGAAAGTTTGCATTTATGATGCAAATATGGATATAAAAGCTCTCTGTGGATGTAAATAATATAATTTAATTATATTATAATAATCTTTCAATTATATAATTTAATTATATTATAATAATCCCTTGAAAGCCACTACTGGCTTGGGGCCGGATACCCTTCCTCTAATAACATCAGAGTACGAACCCAGTTGCGACCCGAGAGGGCCGTAACAACAACCTATAGTATTGTATCATCCTTTGCAGATGACACTAAGATTTTTATGAGAGTAGACAACATAGAGGACATGACAAACCTCCAATCAGATGTAAATCAGGTCTTTCTATAGGCTACAGAAAATAGTATGGGGTTTAACGAAAATAAGTTCCAGCTCATGTGCTACGGAAAAAACAAAAATAGTCTCTGAACCCCAGATTAATCGGGACGTGCCAATGTGCGTCCTTGAAGTCCAGGGACACCATCCAAGGCCCCAGCTCCAAAAGTAGCCAGACCTGGGACAGAGTGGTCATTTGAAAGAAGGGGCAAAAGACCTAGGTGTTCAGATTGGACAAATCCAGAATGAACCGCAGGTCTGCGTAGTTCTGTTTCAAACTGGAAACGGGCGGGAAGCCCACCTGACAGACGCCGTTGTTTCAACCGCGTCCAAGCAAACCCACTCCAGGATAATTCGACAGAGCGCAGGAGAAGAGTCCTGCCCCACCAGCTCCAAACCCCCCGAAGGAGGAGCCGCCACCCAATGCCACCGCAGGCCGGAGGAAACAACCCGAAATGCCCACGAATCGTGGGACTAGGGACGGGACTAGGCACACAGTGCAAACCTCCCCCCCATTGCAAAAAGTCCGACGACCCTTATGAGAGCCCAACCAATGCTCAGATCGATCACTGCGCCGACAGCTCCGCAGGAAGGGCTGGCCCCAAATCTGGCATAACTGGTTTACGACGACCAAAGGAACCCCGAGCCCTGGCACGACTCTTTCGAGCAGGACCTGGTGGCCTCCATGAAACTGGTGACCTGACTCCTGATCACTCTCTCAAATACTTTTATTATGTGGGATGTTAGTGCACCTGGTCTATAATTCTTTACCAATGCTTTGCTCTCTCCCTTGTGTAGATGGGTTATGTCTGCTGATCTAAGCGCATCTGGTATCTTCCCCGTGCCCAAGCTCTTCCTCCACAATATACTGAGTATATTGAGTGCCTGTGCTACTGGCACTTTGCATTTCTTTATAAATATTGAATTCCATGAGTCTGGCCCTGGGGCTGAGTGCATAGGCATATTGTCAATTTCTCTTTCAAAATCTGCCATGCTCATGTTGATATCAGTTATATTTACCCCTTAAACTGCACATGGCGTATATATACACCATGAGTAACATGTCCCACTATGCGCATGGCGTATATATATGCCATAGGGTGCCAGGCACGATTCAAATAGCCCGCAGCAACACGGGTTCACATCAGCTTCCTAAGGGCTCTTGTAAACAGACGCCATCTTTAAAAAAAAATCGTGGGCAATATTCTCTGGTGTGAGAGCCACAGTACTATAACATCGCGATTATCCGGGATTCAAACATCCGGAAAACGCCCTTATACGGCCAAAATCGTGATAGGATAAAGTTATCACAATATCCAGCCAAAATGGCCACAGGAACCGGATAAAAGCTGGTTTGGCCAGATGAAAATTCAGCCATACCATACTAATCCCATCTGTGGCTCTAGACGCATGGTGGAGGAGGGGGTGGGGTGGGTGGGTGGTGTTGGGAGGGTGGGAGGGGTGCGTCGGGAGGGACCACCTGGGTACAGGAATTACCATTATTTTTAGAACAATTAATCATAGCCAAAAAACAAATGAAGTAAGTACTTGTAATTATGTAATAACAAATAAATAAGTTTCCTAAAAGCAATGTGCACAGGCTGAAGTTTCCTTAAAAAATATTGAGTTTTTTCCTCCTGGTAATTACCTAAGTGTAGTTACAGGATGAGAGCTACGCTCGTGGTGTCCCGTCTTCCCAGCACTCTTTGTCATATAACGCTTTGAAACTACTGACGGTCTTGGCCTCCACCACCTTCTCACTTAACTTGTTCCAACCGTCTACCACTCTATTTGCGAAGGTGAATTTTCTTATATTTCTTAGGCATCTGTGTTTACCTAGTTTAAAACTATGACCTCTTGTTCTTGAAGTTCCAGGTCTCAGGAAGTCTTCCCTGTCGATTTTATCAATTCCTGTTACTATTTTGTACGTAGTGATCATATCACCTCTTTTTCTTCTGTCTTCTAGTTTTGGCATATTTAGCCGCTTCTAACCTCTCCTCGTAGCTCTTGCCCTTCAGTTCTGGGAGCCACTTAGTAGCATGTCTTTGCACCTTTTCCAGTTTGTTGATGTGCTTCTTAAGATATGGGCACCACACAACAGCTGCATATTCTAGCTTTGGCCTAACAAAAGTCATGAACAATTTCTTTAGTATATCGCCATCCATGTATTTAAATGCAATTCTGAAGTTAGAAAGCATTGCATAGGCTCCTTGCACAATATTCTTTATGTGGTCCTCAGGTGATAGTTTTCTATCTAGAACCACTCCTAGATCTCTTTCTTTATCAGAATTCTTTAAAGATTTCTCACATAATATATAGGTTGTGTGGGGTCTATGTTCTCCTATTCCACATTCCATAACATGACATTTATTAACATTAAATTCCATTTGCCAAGTGGTGCTCCATATACTTATTTTGTCCAGGTCTTCTTGAAGGGCATGACAATCATCTAAATTTCTTATCCTTCCTATTATCTTAGCATCATCAGCAAACATGTTCATATAATTCTGTATACCAACTGGTAGATCATTTATGTAGACAATAAACATCACTGGTGCAAGAACTGAACCCTGTGGTACTCCACTTGTGACATTTCTCCATTCCGATACATTGCCTCTGATTACTGCCCTCATTTTTCTATCAGTCAGAAAATTTTTCATCCATGATAGAAGCTTACCTGTCACCCCTCCAATATTTTCCAGTTTCCAGAACAACCTCTTATGTGGAACTCTGTCGAAAGCCTTTTTTAGGTCCAGATAGATGCAGTCAACCCAGCCATCTCTTTCCTGTAATATCTCTGTGGCCCGATCATAGAAACTGAGTAAATTCGATACACAGGATCTTCCTGATCGAAAACCATACTGTCTGTCTGATATTATATCATTTCTCTCCAGGTGTTCTACCCATTTAGTTTTGATTAGCTTTTCCAATACTTTCACTATTACACTTGTCAATGATACAGGTCTATAATTGAGGGGGTCTTCCCTGCTGCCACTTTTGTAGATTGGAACTATGTTAGCCTGTTTCCACACGTCTGCTACGATTCCTGTACACAGGGATGCCTGAAAGATCAGGTGAAGTGGAATGCTGAGCTCAGATGCACATTCTCTCAGAACCCATGGTGAAACGCCATCTGGGCCAGCTGCTTTGTTCCTCCCGAGCTCCTTTAGCATATTTTCCACTTCATCTCTAGACACCTCTATCCGCTCTATGTTGTTCTCTGGAATTCTTATTGTGTCTGGTTCTCTGAAGATTTCATTTTGTACAAACACACTTTGGAACTTTTCATTTAATGTTTCACACATTTCCTTTTCATTTTCCGTGAATCTGTTTCCCATTTTCAACCTCTGGATATTATCCTTTACCTGCAATTTGTTGTTTATGATTATGAAATTTATTGTTTATGGTGGCCTACGTAACGTGCTATAGCTGCCCCACCCCAAGTGGACCCGTCCAACACTGGTCAACCCATGTGCGTCCGTCCCTCGTGTTATACACAGTGCTGCGCTATTAGTGAAATATTTTTTTAAGTAACTTTTTTATTTTCATAGTAACTTTAAACATTTTTGGCCAAGACTATGTCTGGTAGCAGCATCAATCGTTCTGGAGGTGTTAAGAGGAAGAAGGTTGTCCTAGCAATTAAAGACAAGTTTGTTCAACCAGTGAGGCGTCACAGGCAGACAAATGCTTTCAACAAGTGAGGCGCCACAGGCAAGCCAAGCGCCTTCAACAAGTGAGGCGCAAGCAAGCCCCTTCAACAAGTGAGGCGTTACAGGCAAGCCAAGCGCCTTCAACAAGTGAGGCGCCACAGGCAAGCCAAGCACCTTCAGCAAGTGAGGCGCCACAGGCAAGCCAAGCGCCTTCAACAAGTGAGGTGCCACAGGCAAGCCTCACTTGCCTTCAACAAGTGAGGCACAAGCAAGCGCCTTCAACAAGCGAAACGTCACAGGCAAGCCAAATACCTTCAACAAGTGAGGCTTCACAGGTAAGCCAAGCGGCTTCAACAAGTGAGGCGCAAGCAAGCGCCTTTAACAAGCGAGGCGTCACAGGCAAGCTAAGCGCCTTCAACAAGTGAGGCGCAAGCAAGCGCCTTTAACAAGTGAGGCGTCACAGGCAGGCCAAGCGCCTTCAACAAGTGAGGGCATGCAAGCGCTTCAACAAGTGAGGCGCAAGCAAGCGCCTTCAACAAGTGAGGCCTCACAGGCAACCCAAATGCCTTCAACCAGTGAGGCTTCAGCAGCTGGCAGTCAAAACTAACTTTGCATAATGAACTGTACAGTAATTTTAAGTGTTAATTTTAGTGTTGTGTTAGTATAGGTTACATAAATTGTTAAGAATTCTTAACTTCAAGATGTGTGGCATCAATCAAGAAGACGAAAACCAACAAGGTAAGGTTGAGGTTTCTAGTTGAATATTTAATAATTATATGGCAAGGCAATTCAAATTATGTTGTTTGTAGTATAAAAATAGTTGGAAAAGGTCACTTTTGGACTCGTAG